CATCGCACCCGGTGCCCGGCAGCGGAACGCGCAGAAGGGGCTCAGGGACAGCCTCCGTCCGTCCCGGGGGTTGTGCCCCTGCCAGCTCCTGGGGCTCCCGCGGGCCCAGCCCATCTCGCGGGTTAGATGCAGTTCTTCTGGGGCCAGAGATAAATACGTGCACAACTGTCCCGCCGGTTAGAGTTGCCGGGTAGTGGTGGCAGTGGACTGACCCACAGGCCTTCGGGGCTCTCCAGCTCACTGCTGCTGAGCCTCGGATGCTGAGCAGCATTCGTCTCCGGTGGTGCCGCGGGAAGCCGTGCATTGTGTGTTACACGGTGATCCTAGCAGGGCTGCAAGTGCAGCATCCTCCAATGCACATCTGTCTCAGTCCCGTGGTGGCAATGGCACAACTCCTCTGCTTTCAGCAGAGTTACACCAGCATAAAACTGCAGTAACCCAGTGAAGAGTTTGGTCTTTAACGTCTTGTAGCCTTCTTCGCAAAAAGTGAAAGCCCAGTTTGCAGTATTTTAGCCTGCTGGAGGCTTAGAGGCTCTTCTAGTGCTAAAGCCAGTCTTTCTGCTGACCGGCCTGTATTGGTCACTGTATTTTAAAGTACAGGAAAAAGTCATACGTATTTATAACAGAAATTGCCAGCGCTTCTGGTTTTACCTAAGCAATGTCAGCCCTGCCTTTCAGCTGAATGCTGGTGCTGTGTAGAAAGAGGGATTCTTATCTGTTAGGCACTCTGATCAATACTAGCAAAGGTAATTTCCCTGAAAACGTAAGTATGTCTTCAGTTTTCCAGTATTTGTAGGAATATTATGTCATCAATCTAATCCGGGAAATCACAGGATTTCACAATGGCAGAAACATTTCTGTCAGGGACTGCTTTTTCAGCTCTCAGTGAGAAGGCAGGTCCCTGTGTTTCCTGTTCACTGTGCAGAGAGACCGGAGCAGCATTCTGTGACTGTACCTGTAAATCACAGATAGCTACAGGTATAGATACAGATGCACAGTTAATTCCAGATCTTTGGTTGTTCGGTTTGGCTGTGGTTGGTGGAGCATGGTTATAAGCATGGTTGTATTTTTAAACTTCACATAAGTTTTTGACACACAGCCATGTGTGTCATGTGTGTCTCCACACTACAAAACCAGTGTTTCTTCTGTATTGTGAATTTTTTTCACTTAGGGTTGTTTATCTGTCTTTCATGCTGGCAGTAGGTTACCCACAGTCAGTTCTTGTGCTTAGTTACTGTGATACAGCATAAGTTGTATCCTGAGCTCACTTCAGATTTATTAAGGGAAGAGACTTAAATAGGATCTGTCTGATATTTTTTAGTCTCTGAAGAAATATTATTTTCAAAACTTGTGCTGTAATTAATCTCCTGGAAATGTGAAGAAAAAAAAAATTCAAATTACTTACAAAGGCTGTTTTCTGGTTCTTAAGCTTCTCAAGAAAATGAAGGAAAACACACCCCTATTTATAAATATCACCTTACGGCAGTTTTTAAATGTCACTGTAACACCATTTATTTTTGCAATAAAGTCCCATTTGTTGTATTAGAATAAAATCCTATAAACACATACTCTAAATATGAGCAAATTCTGAACTGCAGAACACTGACTTAAGCTTTGAAACACTGTTTAACTGTTGGCTAATGAATGCTTGCTTCTCCTGACAATTTTGAAAGTACAAACCAAGGGAGGCTAGGTTACAGCAATGCCTGATCAACAGTGTAAAAGGACGTGTTACAAGATTTCTAATCTAGGGAATCCCCTTAGTAGGCAAGCATAGGATGTTTGGGGAAAGTAATTAAATACCTCTCATGTGCTTAGTCACCAGAAAAAAAGGTAAAAGAGTTTTACTTTGAGAGTTACTGTAAAAAGTTAAGAACTTTAAAATTATTTGGTGATATAGTTTCTGGGCCCAGGTGTGTTACTGGACACAGCTTGAAGACTTGTGCATTTCAGACAAGCTAATCATCCATTTCAAAATAATTAACTCAGAGTAGAAATGCGCAAATCTATAAATAGTATTAAAAATTCTTGTCTCTTAGATGTGAAATCTGCTTACCTCAGCTGCCAAGGGGTAATTGCACACTGCAGACTGTGTACTTACCTAGTTCTGGAGGGTTTGTTTTTCTCACATCTGACATTTTCATGGGTGCATTAGAACAAACCCTGTGGTCAAAAAGATCTTTTTATGCAAACAGCTTCAAAACAAAATTTAAAAGTACAAGTTTAAATCCTCGTGTCTCTGCTGCCTCTTTCAGCATAACTTGTTAAGCTACAGATGATGGAGTGTTTGGGCCCCTTATAAGATCTACTGATGTGTTTCTTATATTCAGGAATAGTTTTCTATATTTAAATGTGTCTTCCTTTATGTTGCAGGAGGCCAAATGTGCGTATGTCATCATCATCATGGCTGTGTACTGGTGCACTGAAGTGGTCCCACTGGCTGTTACCTCCCTCATGCCGGTGGTATTTTTCCCTCTGCTTGGAGTTCAGAGCTCTAAATCGGTAAGGAACACTTCTTGCTCAGTCAGATGCAGGGATACCCATTGCTCCAGTCCCCCATCAGTACTCAGCAAAAAAGTCTGATAGGAAAGCGCTTCAGCTCTGTGGTGCTCTTTGTGAACGTGTTGAGCGGTGTTCAGGGTTCATGTATGGGAAGATGTTGAACTAAACACACATTTGCCCAAAATGTGAAGGGTGTGGGGCTTGAGAGGGTGGAGAGGAAGATCTGTTTCTGGGCATGGATCCTGCTGGAGAGCATCCCATTGGTGCCAGCAGCTGGTGTGTTCATAGCACATCCCCTGAGGAGCAGTGCTGACGCATCCTCTGGTGGATTTCAGAATGCGCGGGACAAGCTTCTTGTGATGGGGTAGACAGCAAGATGCCAGCAAGTACACTGTGTCCTCTCCAAACCTCGTCCTGGCTGCGTGTGCTAGTGCTTTAGTTGGAGAGAGAGAGCCCGTACTTGGGTACCGTAGCCCAGGTTCGCTCCTGGCCAGGCAGCTGGTAGGGGCAGGTGTGGCTGAGAAATGCATTTTGGAGCTCAGCGTTCCTGGTACCTACACAATACTCTGAGCTCTAACAATATTTTAGGAAACTGCTGTCATCTTGTACTTTATTAACTCCTGATGATCCAAAAGGTAGGTTCCTGAGGCACAAAGAGCCCCTGCACTGGACAGTTCAGCCCTTGAACAGGGGATGAAGGGTTCGGGAAGCTGGAGGTGGCTCTGAGGCTGCGACTGCTTGTGCTGGTGCTGGGGTGGGGCCCGGTGCAGTAGATGGCTTTGGGAGGCTGGAGGGCAGAGTGTACGGGGTGAGGCTGGCAAGAGGCAACGTTTGGGCCCCTGACCTACCTTCTCTGTCTTTCAGGTGTGCTTGCAGTACCTAAATGACACAAACATGCTCTTCGTTGGAGGGCTGATTGTTGCAATTTCTGTTGAACAGTGGAATCTTCACAAAAGGATTGCGCTGAGGGTCCTGCTGATTGTTGGGGTGAAACCTGCACTGTAAGAATATTACATCACTTCTTCCTTGCCTGTGTTGATTTAGCAGAGGCCTAGGGATAGTGCTCAACAGGCAGCAGAGGAGGGAACCTTCAGGAACCTCTTTAGCTGCACTTGTACAGAGTTTCCAGAGGTGAAGTCTGGCAGCAGGAACAGTTTATTTGTCCTTTAGCTAAAAACAGCATCTGGCCAAATTCTAGATGCTTGCCATTGGGGACAAAATGGTGACAGACTGCATCACACACAGACTAAGGAGCTAAATGGCTTTCTGGGGTTCCTTTGGTGAACGTGGCAGAGCTGTCCCAGAAGGGAATCTGGCCCTGATTTGTGTTACTGGAGGCTACATGCATCCCTGTCTGGGCTCCACTGTCTAAGTTACAGTGACTACAAAGCCTAGCAGCGTCTGTTTTCTTTCCTCCTTTCTCCTCTGCCTGTTTATCTCTTTTCAGCCTCATGCTGGGGTTTATGGTAGTCACTGCCTTCCTGTCCATGTGGATAAGTAACACAGCCACCACTGCTATGATGGTTCCCATTGTCCAGGCTGTCCTGGATCAAATGGACAACACGGAGCATGATGTGACCATGATGGAACAAGCAACCGGACAAGCAAATACCGTGATTGAGCTGGAGGAAAAGAATGCATCAGATCCCACTTCAGTGCATGGTAAGGGCCTACTCAGCAGTGAGTTGATTCTACTCAACTTGCCACACTCAGAGCTTCCTGACCTAGAAGAAGTGCTCTGTACTTTTTCCAAGGAAAGAGGATGGCAACCTGACTGAAAATCCCTAAATCCATGACGTTCAGGTTTTATAAAATGGCTTCCAATTTTGGTGGCTGCCATTTTGTTCTGTGTAGTGCTAAATCCCATGCAGATTGTTATGTTCTTTTCTTCAATCTGGGATCATCCTCCCATAGTTTCCCTAGACTTAACTGCCTTCTCAGGGAAGTTAAAAGTGTATCCTGTGGGAAATATTGTCCAGTCCCCCAGCATTGCACTTTGCAAATCTTGTGATTATCAGTGGGGATTCAGCTTCTAAGCCATGCAGGAATGTTTAAAAAGCTTAGTGCAAACACAGCCTGTTTTGGTTCTGGGGTAATTATCTCTTTATTGACCAGATTGCATGTTGAAGTGGGTGTAAGAAAGAGGAATACTTTAAAAGCTACATGGAAAAGAGGAGCTGGTGTCATTTGACTCACGGTAGACAAACTACTCCTTGGAACATTTCAAAGCGTGATCTTACCTTGATGCTTGACTCCACAAGGTCCTTCTGTTGGTTCTGCAGTAGGTTTCATCTGACACACTGAGCACAAACTCAGTCCCTCTGATTTCATGGCTCTGCTGTGCTGTTGCAGAGGGATATATTATTAAATACCATTAAAGATCAGCTCTGTGGTGCCTTTCTCTTTCAGAGGAGGAAGGATTGTCTTGGGGATTTTAATGGAGATGTGATTTCACTGAATTAGCAAGTTGATCTGCCACAATTCCCTGTGTGACTGTGTGCAAAAAAGAGTACAAAAGTTGGTAGCGCATACTGTGTCCCACACTGCAAGCCTTCTGCCTGCAGCACGCCATGCCCATTTTCTGGCTTACGTGTCAATGGAAGACAGCGTAGAAGAAGGATGTTAATGTGTGCCAGACATTGCCCTGTTACGAGATTGACTCATAACTGACATATTTGTTTGGACTTTGGAGGCATAGTTTAGATACAACTGTGATCTCTGCTTTTTGGCTGCTTCATTTCTTAACCTCCCTTGTGAAGGGAGAACGCACTATGATTGTGCAAAGCTCAGACGCTGGGTTTATGTAAGATACACAAGCCCACAAGAATGCCACTTGGTCACAGAGTGATCTGTAAGTGCTTCTAGCTTCCAAACAGTTGTACTAAAGATAAGTTTTCATATTTGCAAATGCTCTTTTTCATGTTGATTCTTGACTCCCAAAACGGGACTTCTGCTCTAAGACCGGTAATAATAATTTTGCTGGTTTTCTGCTTGGCTTTGCTGACTGATTTATTTTAACATGTATGTAGTGAAGGTAATAAATATGTGCAAAAATACCCTTTGGTATTGTTGAGTTGGTTGGAATGGCCATACCTACATTGTCCTGCTCCGTTAGTTCAGTCAAACTTCAAGATTAGACTGTTAACCTCAGAAAACAATGGACACAGCAGCAAAATTTCACAGTTGATGTAAACTGACATAACATATTGATCTTATGCCAGGCAAGAATTTGGTTTTGGGTGTTTTTTTTCTGCCCATATTCACAGCGGTTAACGCTAGTTCGGTTCTTGCTGTGGTATTGGAATGGTTCCAGTGACTACAATATCTGGCTGGTGGTAAGCCTCTCTGTGAAACGGGAAATTACTGCTGAGGAACTGTGGCACTGATATGGACAGCAGCATCCTGGGATCATTTAGACCCAGAGCGTCAACCTCTCTCTTCAGCTCCTTGTGAACCTGAGTCCAAAGTATTTAGGAACGTATCTGTGTGGTTTCTTTTTAATGAAAATAAGTGGCATACACCAGTTGGAATCACTGAGCCTGCAGACCCTGTCCGGAACTCTCCTCCCTAACTTTACCTGAGGCAAGTCATGTTCTTTGTGTCTAGTCATGAGCAATGGACAAGTCCCTGATGACCCCAGATCTTCTGAGGAAAAGAAAATGAGGAAACGTGTATGTAAGGGAATGACACTTTGTGTATGCTATGCTGCCAGCATTGGAGGAACTGCAACGCTCACTGGAACAGGACCAAACATGGTGTTGAAAGGCCAGATGAATCAGTAAGTCCTTCTTGCTGTTTCTGTTACTTAAACTATCTCACTGTTTCTGTGACCAACTGGCTGGTCTTAGATGACAGTTGCAGTTGCAAACCATAAGCAGTGACCAGTTGATGAGCTGAGAGTGAGGAATGTGTATGAAGTGATGGGCCTCATTTTTCTGCTTCAGCCTTTTTTGGCAGCTATGTGCTGCTGTTATAGGTCTCCTGAGAAATTTGGAAATACTTTTTGGTAATCAGCAGACAGCTGGTTGATCATGAGATACTGGTTCTTCTGTGTCCTCTTTTTCAACTGAAATGCAGCACATCAGCAGAGGAACTGCAGCGAAGAGTGTCTGAAGAGTGTATGATTAACCCTCCTCATAAGCCCACTGAAGAGAGATAAAGATAGCTTAGCCTCTGCTGTAATATTATTCCTCCATGCTGTGGCTGTGGAAACTGTGCAGATACTGTTGTAAAGGAAAGGAGTTGCCCACAAAATACTGTCTCTGCTAAACTGAGTTTGGGAATTGATTTAAATGCAACCTAATCTACGGTGGAAATTTTGCAGACTCCACAACAGTCCGTAAACATTGCTTCCTTCTGTAGGGAGCACTTCAGTGTCAGCTGCCGCATTACCCATTGGCATTAACACCCAGCTGGAAATTTGCTATTGATATTTTTCCTCCAGTCGTTATTGGTGAACACAGGGAAGAACAAAAATTGCTGTTCTTAAAACACTGGCTTCATTCTTTTAAGCCAGCTATCAACTTTGTCTTCTGTTGAAGTGAGCAGAAGTGCAGCTATTAATTTCAGGAAAGACAGTTCTTGCTCTCTTACTAGAATGAATGGGGCAGAAGAAAGAATGTCCTGTCTTGGTATAAATAAGCAGGCATGTTGGAAGTGAAAGGTACCTGGACTTGTGTGGGAGATCTTTCAGTAGCAGTTGTCTTACTGAGACCTGAAATATATGCATTAAGTAAAATACAGAGAAAACCGAGGATCATTTAAGTTCTGCTCTGAAATGCAGGCTGCCTTCCTGTTGACTTCATTTAGGGTATGGATGTTGCCTGTGATTACGTGCAATGGTTGTCCTAGATTTACAGGTATAATTGTCACTAGCACATATTAAAGAGAGAGCAGAATACTAAATGTTTTGACATTCATACAGAAAACATTTTTCTTTTGTTTTCAGGTTATACCCCAACAATAATGATATTGTGAATTTTGCTTCCTGGTTTGGGTTTGCATTCCCAAACATGATTCTGATGTTGGTACTAGCTTGGCTTTGGCTACAGTGCTCCTTCATGGGACTCAAGTGAGTATTTAACTACATGATATTGTGTAAACCCCTCAGCTAATGCAGATCAGCTTACTGAGAAATCTGGATAAGCCAAATGCACTGACAAGTTATTAATTTAGTAGCAGAGAGAAGTTCCATTTCACAGCAGCTTTTGAGGTCTGGAAACTTTTTGTGTTCATGGGAGTTGCACTAAGGCAAAAGCTTTATACATTCTTAATGTTCAGGCAGAATTGCCTGTTACTTTTCAGTTTCACATGTGTGTATTTCAGCCCCAGAAGAGCTAGCATAGGGTTTTGCTACCCTCGATTCAAAACTAAGTTTTTCATCCCAGGTTGCTCCAAATTACCCAGAGACTTACATCCATTCACAGACCCCATTCTTCTGCAGGAACTGGCATGTCCCCATGAAATACTTTGACACTGTTGTAATTTCTTTTTTTCCTGGCCTCTGCTCTAGTCTGTGTCCATCCCTAGGAGTGACAGCTTCAGTGGCAAGCATGTTAAATCCCTCTGATATATTAATACTTACGTATTTTCTTCTCCTTTTTTTCTTAAAGCTTTAAAAAAAGCTGGGGCTGTGGGACAGAGAGAACTGCTAAAGAAAAAGCTGCATACAACGTGCTGAAGGCAGAAATGAAGAAGTTGGGCCCTATCTCTTATGCTGAATTCAATGTCCTCATAATGTTTGTTTTGCTGGTTCTCTTGTGGTTTTCCAGACACCCAGGCTTTGTAAAAGGCTGGGCCACCAGCCTCTTCCCAGAAGGAGAAAAGTAAGTTTTTAGGGTTTTTTTCATCCTGTACCCTCTTGGTTGTGAATCAGATTCCCTTGCTCTTATGTTCCATTTTGAGTGTGGGGTCATTCATTCCAAACTTATCTGAATTCACATTTCCTGGTCTTCATCCTGTCGCTAGTGTGTGAGATCACCAGTTGATGCATTGTTTGGCAGTTTGTACTGCAATGAAGGCTGGAGGCCAGGACGTGGAGTAGGCTGAACCTCCTAAAGGAAGAGAAAATTCTGTCATGCTGGTCTCAGTCACACTGATGTACACTTTGAATATTTGGTAATATCACCTCTAAACAATAGTTTAGAACTCACTGGGAAATTGATTTGGTGCTTTGAATGGCTTTTTTGCATAATGTCTGTGGCATGTTAAGAACAAAATGCACGATGGGACTATCATTCAGGCCACTTCTTTACACATCTTTATTGAGATACAACTGCTGAGTCTTGGCCTCACCACAGCAGGAACCCTGCTCCCAGGAGCCGTTGCCGTCTGTGACTCTGGTTATTCATGTGTATTGTAGCCGGTTTCTTTTATCACTGTTTGTGTTGTGGCAGGTCTGAGAGACCTCAGTCATGAACTAATGACCCATTTTGCTAGTGTACAAGCCTCAAACAAGATGACAAAGAGCAGTGACTGCAATGCTGGAAGGCAGCCATCTTCTAGGAGAAAGATGTCTATTTTATAAGCCGTTTTCTCTTTTCTTCTTTAGGTACATCACTGATTCTGCTCCAGCTATGTTAATTGCGCTGCTACTGTTTATCCTTCCTGCTGACAAACAAAATTCATAGGCTGGAATCCAAGCATGTCTGACCCTGAACAGGCTGAAGAAGGTATTTAAAAGAGTAATCATAACATTGCAAAACAGTTAGCCAGATCCAACTAACATGGCAGAAACAGGTACTGGATTTGCATGCGGTTCTTCAGCGTAGCTCACCTCCCTCACGTGCTGGGCAGGGCTGGGGCACGGTCCTTGCTCATATTTATTACTCTTACCCTTCGCAGGTTTCTCAGTAATACGCATCTGTTTTTTTTCCCTAGTGTCTTATAGAACAGGAGACAAAATGTCTTCACTCTCCTAAAACATGTTCTGCTTTTCATTTCTCACTTCAGATATAAAAAAACCATTTTTATCAGCCCCGCTGCTAGACTGGAATGTGGTTCAGAGGAAGATGCCCTGGAGCGTTGTGCTGCTGCTGGGAGGAGGTTTTGCTTTGGCTGATGCAAGCGCAGTATGTCCTGACATCTGTTTTTCTCTGACTCAAAGGCGAACTTCCCTGGTTTGTTATCTAGTCCTGTATTACTGGGCATGCACCCAAAGCCAAACCCAGTAGAGATGTTCAGATCTGACACATTAGCAAAAATTGGGAGGAGGTGTGAATGTGCCTCTTTTTCAGGAATTTGTGTGCTCTGACCAAGTTTCTTCAATTTCTCTTACCTCTTGGAGGCTGCCAAGTAGTTTGGGGTCTTCACTGGCTGGACAGACCAGAAAAGCAGCCTTTCTTATTTCTCTTATCATCCCAATCCCAGCCCTGGCTAGAAAAGTAGAAGTATAGATAACACTTGTCAGATTTTCAGAACCATTTGAGGTTTATTTAAAGCATATATATCTTCAGATTTAAACCAAACCACTACTGGAGTGGTCAGGAAAAAAATCGTTGTGGGTAGGTAGCCCATGGTTTGATCCTGTGTTCATAAATTCACAGAAAAGGAGCTGACTTCCCAAACCAGGAAAGAATCTTGAGGTGGACTGTGTCATTTCCTCCATCACTCCCAAGATACATCTAAATCAAAGCAAGCCTTAGCTATCAACAGTGCCATGCTTTGGGGAAATTCATCTTCAGATCTAATTTTTGTGGCTAGGCAGTTTTAAACCAGGGGGCAAATTAAAGCCCTGGGGCCTTCCATTCATCTGTATACATCAGACATAGATTATTAAAGCTCCAGAGCATTAGAAGCCATCAAGTCAAAGGTTTTGTAAGCTGTTTGAGTCAATCTCTGCTTATGTTCCTACAATCTCTGCTTATGTTCCTGCTTTCATACAGCATCGCTATCTTCAGAAGCCTTAGAAAAACATGCCAGGAAACTTCTGAGAGATACATTAAGTATTTCCAATAGTCTCAGCAATGGTTGTTTCTGTTCAGCAAAAAACCATAATTTTGTAACCAAAATGTGAGCAAGTATTTGGGTTCCAGAAAAATCAGGAAAGTGGGACTCAGTATTAGGTCCAGTTGGCAAGGAATTTCTTTTAGTGTTTTGTCATGGATCATTGTGCTTTCCCGGATGGTGTTTATATAATTCAGGAGCCATTTAGCATTCTTTGGTAGGAATGTTACACTTAACCTGAGTTCCCTGTTCATGAGATAGGGGTTCTAAGCCTCACTGAAAAACATTTTTTTTCTTGTCAGAACTCTGGGCTCTCAGCTTGGCTGGGTCATCAAATGACTCCACTAGGATCCATCCCACCGTGGGCCATTGCAACAGTACTTTCACTTATTACAGCTGTCTTCACCGAATGCACCAGTAACGTTGCCACAGCCACCCTCTTCCTACCTGTCTTCTCATCCATGGTAAGATTACTTCCATCCTGTTATCCTGTCAACTGGGAGATCAGAGTTAAACTGACATTCTCTAGTGGCAAAGCAATACCGTATTTATTGTCTGGAATGTTGCTCCAGTGTTCATCTGAAAGCCACCAACAAAGCAGCCCATCTGACAGTATGCCATAATGGGCAGATTTTAGCTGGTGGTCACTGCTATGTTTATAGCATCGTATGTAGACAGAAACTGGGAATCCAAACTTTCTCCAGTCTGCCCTACTTGTATGCCTGAAACCTGAGAAACAGCGTCTTGGGGGGAAGAAGCTAATTCAGGGCCTGTCCCATGTCACTGAAAAGGAAGCACTTCAAGCCTTCTGTAAGGTGTGTCTCTAGAGAAAGTGAAATGAGAGTCTCGTTTTTAAGTACAGATCAACAAACATCCGTTACTTCTGGTCATTTTGTATTTGAACCACCAACTCAGAATTGGAAAAACACACACAAAAGACCCAAACCGAAACAAAATACAGCACTTTCTATTCATCCCTTTGAATCCTTCCTTCATGGCTTTATGCTAGAGTACAGAAAGTGTTAGCCCTGATTATTAGAAATGTGTCATTTTCTGTAGGAAGCCAGAACAATTCTAAAATGTATGGGGGAAAGCCTGTTAAGTGTCACTGCCTTTTCTGAGCAGAATTGAAATTGTGGCTTAAAGGAAAAAATATGTTACTTTGTCTCTTAATTTGGAAAGTACAACCGCTTTATTCTAGACCACTTCATCAAAGTAAAATTATCCCAATAAGGGTGCTGAGCTATTAGTGACTTAAATGGCACTTAAGTTCTGAGTCCCACAGAGTTCATATAACGTCTAAAAGTGTTACTCCACGTGCCTAGTAATTATAATCCCATCCCTGTGTAATCCTGGCGAAACTGTGGTCTGAGGTCAAAGAGAAGATTGTTGGGTAAGTTTGACCAGAACTCCAAATTATACCATAGAGCAAAACAAACAAGAAGAAAGAATCAAGCATTGTTTTTAAGTATTGTGGGACAGAAAATGAGAGCAAAGTTATCTTTAAGCACAGGTGGATTTCGGAATAAAATACTAGTAAATTACTCAGGTGATATAGTACCAGGAAAGTAGATGAGTCTGTGTGTCTCAGTGGTCTGGGAAATGTTCTTTATGCTTTTCTTTTGGAACACCCCCAGTGTGATATTCTCCCCATTGCGTTGCAGGCTACATCTGTCAAGATCCATCCTCTGTACGTTATGCTGCCTGGAACTCTCAGTGCTTCCTTTGCCTTCATGCTGCCTGTTGCAACGCCGCCGAATGCAATAGTGTTTTCGTATGGTCACATCCGTGTGTTGGATATGGTAAGATGATAATTGCCTTCTTATCTGAAGCTCTCCATTGCCTTTATCCTGAAATATGGTGAGAGTTTAATTTTCTTAACCAAGTATTTCCAAAGTGCCAGGAAGCTCTTACGGGCTGTAACTACCAACCTCTGCCTCTCTCTCCTGCGGTGTTACTATTGCAATAAAGATTTGCATCTCTGAAGTGACAGTACCTTTCTCAGTCTTTGGCAGACATACAGCCCAGCCCAGCTGAAATTAAAAACGGACAAGTCGTAAGTCTCTTAAACACTGAAGAGTTAACATGCTGTCAGTGCTTTCCAGTCTTCTGGGGCTTTGGCGAGTGTAGCTGAAGCCTTGTTTCCACTGGAGCTGAGAGCAGAAGGTAACAATCGTTTGCCCTAGCCTTTGGTCCTCTGATTGCCTGCCAGACCACACAGTGCCAGATTCCATGCCGAACACGCAAACGTTATCAGTTTTGTAACTGGAGACTTGAAGGAGGCAGAAGCTGTTCTTTAACTAGTAAGAGCAACTTGTACACGCCGCAAAGCTCCTAGCCTAGTTCTATAGCAAAGTGTTCAAAGGCTTTGCACAGTGAGTTCCCTGGTATTTCCACCTGAGCAAGAGCACCGGGCAGTGGGTACAATGCCCGTTTCTGTGATTTATTTTACTACGTGTATGTACAAATAGGCACTGCTGCAGTTTGCTGTGCTGGTTATTTGGTTATATTTGTTGGTTTGGGCTTTTTTCCCCACAGGTTAGGTCTGGAATAGTGATGAACATCATTGGAGTCTTCTGTGTCACACTGGCCATCAACACATGGGGAAGACCCATGTTTGAGCTGGACACATTCCCAGCCTGGGCAAACAGCACAGCTAACCACTGAGCAGTGAAGAATTCAGGTGTTAAACAAGGAAAGGACGATTAATGCTACTCCCTGTTGCCCCAAGCCCTATATAGAGTTTCATCACCACTTCAGATCGAGTGTCGGGTGTTTGCTGCCTTCTGGGAGTCACGCATCAGTTCAGGCGTGAACCAACACAACTTTTCTCTGGTCATGCTGGAGCCAGAAGTGCTGTTTAATTACACATGTGTGTGGATCATAAGTATGATAAAGTGATCTGTTGTACCTCCAATCAAGGCGAAGATTTAGGATTTATTGAACTTTAAATAAAGAGAGGGCAGGCTGTTGTACCAAATGGTTTGAACTATCGTATCACTGGTATGTACCTGTCAGTCATTGAACAGGGCACTCAGGCAGGGGCTGAAAAGTCATTAACTCTTTCTTATATCCACAAGTCAGCAGCTGTACAGAGAAATCCCTTTTGTCACTTGTCTGGTGAAAGAAGGGGCATGTTGTGTTATGTTATTGTGTTCTGTTGGGTTTTAGTCAGGCCTCAGCCATGGGGTGGAATCCTTTCAAGACAACATCCAACACACTTTTCTTTGCCTTGTTTTCACTCCAAAGTCTCACCACATCTAGACACCCTTTAATGAGCGTTGAGATAATGGAATTCCATGCTGGTCACGATTCAGCTGGTGTCTCGGGCAGTGATGAGTTACGGCTGGATGTTTGTCCCTTGCAGGTGGCACCGGCAGG